CAGAGAGGGGCTTCCGTAGGCTCCGCTTCTCCGCGGGGAGTAGTTTTCAGCTACGAGTCCCCGGCGGGGGCGCTTTAAAAGGCTACCACGGCCCTCACCATTATGCTCAGCACTCCGTCGCCTTGTCTGCAGTTCGCTTTAGGCTCCTCGGCGCCTTTGGCCGGCGGAGGCTGGAGGATCAAGCTAGAGAACCGGTCCTGCAGGATTCGGGCCAAGCTCGGAAAGGGCCCTTCTTGCCTCTGGGGCTGCCGCTCGCCTTCCTCCTCCGCCAACTTGGCCTTCTTGCTAGGCACCAGGCCGGCTTCGGCGGCGCCAATCTTGTCTAGGCTGCTGCTGCGGCGCTTGCGGCTCGGCTTCCTGCTGACTGGCAGAGGCCCCGAGGCGCCCCGGCTCCAAGCCGTCTGGGTCAAGGAATGCGCGGGCAAGCTGCTACCGGGCTCTTCCTGGGTCTCCATGGGTTCCGGATCCAGGCTGCCGCAGGGCTGTGGCGTGGGTGGAGGCGCCTCCTGTTGGGCTGGGGGGAAGAGGATTGCCGGAGGACCCTCCAGATGCTGCGGGCTGGGCGCCGTCCCTTGTAGGTCTAAGTCCGGCTGCCGCCCAGGAAAATTTTCCACGCTTCCTCCACCCATCTCGTCCTCTTCCTCCAGCTTGGCCGAGAGGTAGAGGTCGCGGGCGTTCCTCATCACGAGGGAGAGCTGCAGGCTGCGGTGGAGTCGGAGGCCTCCGCGCTGCATGCGCGAGTGATACATCTTCCACACCGACATCGTCATAATACGCTGCGCTTCTTTCTGCACCTCCATGTTGGCGGGCGCTCTTCGGGCTTCTCTTTGGACCCTTCTGAAGCTCGAGTCGGAAGAGAAACGCCTGGTCTTCCTTCCCCCTCCTCCAAAAGCGAAAGTGGCGCGCCTCCGGCTGTTTCTTCCCAGCAAACACCTCCCAACAGCCCGTACAGAGACGTCCGTTCCGACTAAGCGGGGCCGCGCCCAGCGCGCTGCATTTTATACTCCTGGTGATCTCAGCGCCAGGGCCGCCTCCGCCCACTCTGCGAGCCGCATCCGGCCTTGTAACTGCGCGCCACTAGCCGCCCTTCCCGAAAGGGGGAAGGGCAGGCGGAAATGTCAGGGCGGGAGAAGAGAAAGAGCCAAATGGAGGTGTCGCCGGGAGACGAGGCTCGCGGGCGGCGGGCTTTTTCCTGCTAAGCAAAGAACTGGAAGTCGGGTTCCACGCTGAAATGGCGTGATAGGGTTTAGAAAAAATGAGCAGCTGGTTGTGTAAGCGGTGTGGACAAGCAGTGGCCAGCTGTCGATTCCTTAGCTAATTGGCTTCAGAATAAATTTGTTTCCTTGGAAGTGGAGTACACTCTGCGAATTCTGAATGAGATATGGTGGGAGTGCAAGATTTACTCTTGAGAAACTACGGAGGTTGTTGAACTCTTACCGACCTCAGACATCATCAGCAAAGTTAAAGAATTTGGGAAGTTGTAGTTCACTGCCTGAAGGCCACGTGCCCCCATTCGTTGAGAAATAGTTAAATAAATAAGATTCATTCCGTGCACGTTTTAAGGCTGGGGAAGGCTTCCGCACACTGTTCTTGGGTTAGATTCAGTGATTGGCAATTGATAAGGTTGTCCAGAGGCAGAGCAGCAAATAATACTATTCAATGGAGCCAAAACACAGCCAGTTATTTTGGCATAAAAGACAACCCATGTTATGACAGTTGATCTTTGCCTTAGCATGTTGTGAAAATGCAATGATGGCATTTTCAATGAAGCAAGGATTAGGAAGATTTGGAAACAGATGCTCTTACTGATTAAGTCAGGTTTGATTCCAACCTACTTGAAATAAGTGACATAAAACTTACAACTATTCAGAAGCTCACTGTGCAGACAGTTATCATTATGGCAACACATGAATTAAAACTATTGAGACTACCATATCTGACCTGCAAAAATCCAATTGTCCAGTAGATGTCACAGATGATACCAAAACAATTTAACTTCTTTCCATTTAGTGTTTTCCAAACAAGTTGCACCAGTATAACTAGTTTGGTTTGTTAGTACAATTCTGGCTATATCCTTTATAATAATATATGTTGGTACCTCAACAATCTATAGGGTACAGCAAAAGGCAAATGATTGGCTTACTGAGTTAATTTACAGAGGTGTTACATCAAATAAAAATTTTGCACTGTGGTTTCATGTTGGTACTTGCAATCTTCATATTTTACATACTGATTTAATTTAAGCCTCCAGGCTGTAGTCATGACAAGATGTTGAATAGGAAGGGTATTCAGTTTTTGTACTATCAGCAAAATTAAAGGAAACTAGAATTTTAAAAAATCTGTAATTTCAGGACCAAAGCAATGCAAATACTTTTTTAAAATACACTCTGGGCAAATTGTGAGAAATCTCAAGTTTGTACCCCCATGTAAAACTATATATAGAAAATCAATGCAAGAAATGTTAGGTTTGCCCTTAAGATACAGTATTTTGAACTCCAGATCTTGTTCTAACTCAACCATAACAATTGTTTTGCTAATTATAAGGAAAGATTGTCACCCAAAGTTTTGAAATCCTCTTGTCATCAACCAAACCTATACAACAAACCTGACTCGGGAGTAAACATCCTTGCAGCGTTATTCGGCCTGACAGTTCTGGCCAATGTGGGACAGCATTTCTAATGCAACCAAAGGGAGGCCAGTTCAAGCAAAGCCTTCAATGGAGCTTCGCCTCAATTTGCATACTTATATTCTCTTTCATTCATCCGCATTTGTGGCTGTCTGCTTTTTAATTGCCCTGTTTTACTACAGATGGGGAGGGTTGGTGTGTGTGTAGAGAGAATATTCCCATATTCACGTAAATGTTTTACTGGTCGGGAAAACACATTGTCTTCTAACCAGCCTCCCCAATCAACACAACGGAAGGCACGCTCGTCCCTAACTCCCTATTCATTTTACAGTATTCCCAGAGCTGGACTCCTCCCTCTATTTAGGTCACCCCTCCCTCTCGCCTCCGTGGTTACTGCATGTATTATTGGAGCCTGACGACAAGGCAAGGGGAGGAGCCGAGGCTTCGTTCCTAAAGCGCTTACGTTGGTAGTAGCAGCCCTGCTTCCTGTGCCCATAAATGGGTAACGCGACGAAAGGCTCAACTGAGCTTCCGGGCCTTCACCGAGGGAGCCATCTGCCTTGTCAGCCAATCCGCTTACGTATAACGGGCTGCGGGGTAACACAATACTCTGCTTGGGTGGCGCATGTCCTCCTAAATCCTGCCACTTTCAGAGACTACATTTACAGCTCACGTCGTATACTCTCAGTTTGTAAGCAATTTATGTAACTTCCAAGTATGGATATCGTACCTTCCAAAGCAAGCCTAAGCCATTTTTTTTTTCCTTTTAGTCTTCCGAATTCCTGCCTCCTTTCCAATACTGTAATTTCATCTGATCGGGTGTGGCTGTGTAAATCCTTATCACAAAACTCACATGCGGTCTAAATGTATTACTTTCCTGTTTCACGGAGGCTCAAAGTACACCAGGAAGTTATTTTACACCGAAACGTATATGGTAGTTTGCATGTAGGTCACATTTTTGTCTTGATCCAAAAAGGGGGTAAAATAAAATTCGGCTGACGTAACACCTTGTAAGCTTTTAAGTTTATTAAATTTATATCACTCCCCGCCCCCATGTCGCTATTAGAGCGACTCTGGGAGGCTTTCCTAAATGATAAAAAAGCGCGAAAAATTGGAGAAAAAAGTGATCAGACGTTCCTATACGTTATGGCTAGATAGACTACTAGAGTTTTCAGACGTGTAAACTGGATTTTATTGGCTACGCAGCAATGTTTATCTTGGGATCAGGGCTTGCCCAAAACGGTGAGGGGGGGGGAAATGAGCAAGAAAACGTTTACAAATTTTCAGCGTCTGAAAATATAAACATTCATGAACGTGAAATAAAACAAATCTGGAGCAAATTATTAAGACAACCCAACACAGACTTGGGCTTAAGGAGCTTTTGGCACTTATGTACGAAATAAGTAATTTCTGGTTTTGGCCAGACCGCTTTCTCGTCTGGCAAGGATCTGCCTGTGCCTCTTTATTGCGTCATCTCCAATCTCGGCCCACGAGGTCTTTATACTCTCCTCTCCCTCTTGGGTCCCTTCCAGGGCACGAGCATTCGCCATGCCAACTATTTATTTAAATCAGTGGTTCCCAACCTTTTTTTTTTTGGTGGCCTAAACAACTTTAGGTTGTCCTACCTAAACAACTCTAAAATCCTGATCCCCCCCCCATATAATTCTTACTTTACTCAAAAAGTGAAATCTGCTCACGCAGAGGAAGCCTAAAAGGCCAGTAACTTGGTTTAAACAAGGTTCAAAATTGCCCCCATTAAAAAGCAAATTGCCTCCCTGTGGGGCTTAAGCCCCACATTGGGAGCCACTGATTTAAACGGTGGTGAAATTTAAAAATACGAAGCCCCGTATCTTCTATGCTCCTTTATCCTGCAGTTAAGAAACGGTCTTGCTGTCTTTTTTTCTTTAGCACGGAATGATCAATAACGAGTTCCCTCTCAAATGGTAAAAATAAAACATTACTAAAAAAAAAAAAACGCAGTCCGCTTTGAAGCCATTTTCGGTCATTTTGCCAGGCGACTAAGGGCTATCAGAGAAACGTTTGCGAGTTGGGGTGGAAAACTTGAAAAGGCGAAGCCTTCAAACGAGAGGCGGCTAAAAGAAATTAATGTGTGCAAGCAAAGCCGCCAAGGCCAGGTCTTCCTTCTTTAGGAAATTGGGGAATGGAAAGAAAGGCAAGTAGAAACACCCCTCCCCCTCAAAAAAAAAAAGACTGCACGGAAGCTAGGAAATTCCAGGGGAGATTTCTTTTTCTTTTTTTCAACCCGCCTACTAACTTCTCTTCCCTATTTTGACTCCTCCCTAGAAAAGGCGTGTCCCCTTTCCGTATTTAAAAGAAAAAAAGAAAAAGAAAAAAACCCGAGGGAATTACAGGGTTGTGAAAGAGGGACCCGTAATAAACATGGCTGCCTTGATGGCTTCAGTTCAGTGATTGGGGGGGGGTGAAGAGGGAACATTTTCCTCCATTAGATGTCCATGTCCATGGTTTCAAAGCCCATACGCGTTTCTATTGGTTGGCTGGGCTTCTTGAAGGCGACTTGAACGGTCAAGGATGTCTCTGGAGGACCCCTTCTTCGTGGTGAAAGGGTGAGTGGCAGTCCCCGGAGGGGATACTTTGAAACAAAGAAGGGGGAGGAGAAAACCTCTTCCCTCTGGAAAGAGCCGGTTGAAACCACGCGGGGTGTGGAGAGAGTGGAAAGATCGGGGAATCCGAGAATCTAAAGGCGGAGAGAGAGAGAGAAAAAATTTCCCCACCTCTGATGGGAAATCCCGTTCAAATAGTAAAACAACCACCGGAACGTCGTCTTCTTCGAAAGAACCTTCCCCATAGAGATCAAAGGAGCCTGCTGCGTGGCTGTGGGCTTGAAAAAGAAGCCCAACTTTCAGAAATAGCGGCCCTCGCGGGCTGTTCCCAAATGCTCCGATTTGGGATGTTAGAAGGAAACAAAAACGTTGGTGGACGAAGTCTGAGCACCGTTTCTCTCATGCAGAAAAGCGGCCAAGATCGGTCGACTACTGAATTTCTGCACAGTACAAAATAGGCAACAAGGAGAGTTACTTTGTATAAATCAGCAATTTCGTTATTTTGTTCTTCGCGGTGTCAGATCGTAGCATTCTTTGGGTTTTAGTTATGCTAAAGAATATGCTTAGATCTCTATTTTAATGTATTAACAGTCTGAACGCACGTGGTCGGAGTAAAGCTATGAATACTCTGTTCCTTTTGTGTTGGGGATCTGCCAAAGGCTAAAATTGGCTGTGGAGTGTGGAGTGCACAGTGCATGCTCCAGTTCTGTTTTCTCTCACACATACATGGGAAGAGGAAGATCCCCGTGGTCGTTTTTCACCCTCCCTTCAGATCTAGATTATGACTCCCTTTATATCTCCATTTATGTCATTCAGCTAGATCTTTTTTCATTTATGGTCATGTTTTCTTAGGGGACAATTGGTTTCACGGACCTCCCGGCAAAGAAACAGCACCTTTTTCTAGTGCAACTGCCTGGATCTCTTACAAGTATCAGTTGATCCAAATAAATTGGATGTTGACATATACTGCTGTTTCTTTGAGGAGCTCGGAGCTCGCGTGCCTTTTCTGCTATAAGAAGTTTGTTTATGCAGAAATGGCCTGCCTTGCTTCAGAGAGGTAGTGGTTATCTCAAAGGAACAAAATCGGTCTTGGGTGAACTGCATTAGTGATGCATTTTGCCTGTCAATCAAGTCGTCCTACCAAGAGTTCATTCGTGGCACGACAAAACCGCGCTCGACTAAAGCGCGCCCGATTAAACAGCGTCGCTGACGTCATCAACAGGGCGACAACAGCGAGCGCGGAGAAAGAAGGGCGCTTTGAAAGCAAGCCGATTCAAGTTAAGGTAAGGGTTAAGTTTAGGGTTAGGGTTAGGGTTAG